TTTTATTACAGATGAAATAATTTAGACAGTTTTTAACTCTCAGTGATGCCGCAGTGTTTGTTTGACTTTGGGACCTGAAGCGGACGGAGTTTAGGACCCAGATTACTCCGCGAGGCTCCTGACTACGGTAGCCGTAATGCTCCACACCAGATTATAAGTCGCGCTGTCGAGTTTTGAGAAAATTAAAGTATTGTAAGTGCGCCTTATAGTGCGGAAAATACGGTAGCCTTATTTTAAAAATCGTGTCCTGGTGTGATTAGTGGGGATAGGTTCCTTCATTAATCTAAATTGCCCATAGGTGTGAATCTGTGCGTGAATGTGAGTGCAAATGTCTGTCCCTGTGTGTTAGCCCTGCGACAGACTGGCGACCTGTCCAGGGTGTGCCCCGCCTCTCGCCCTATGACAGCTGGGATAGGCTCCAGCATGCACCACGACCCTGGTGAGGATAAGTGGAAGTGGATGGATGGACGGTGCCCTGGGGTTAAAATAGGCTTCAGGAAATGTAGCGTGTACCCTGGCTGTTAGTGGTGTAAATTGACTCGTTCTTAGGTAGTGATTCTCTATTCAAAGCACTTCTAGAAAATGCTTTTTCTGTGCTTAAGTGCTTTCTGTCAAATATTCACTCATAGGGATGCATCAGAGAGCAAGTTGGGTTATTCCTGTCCAAAGCATGTAGACTGGAGCAGCCATGATGGTGTCCTGCTCTACCTCCGAGCTACAGACGTCCTAAATAGAATTGATGATATTGCATTTAAGTGAGACACTCAGTACAGGGCATTTGCTGGGGATTTAGAGTTGCTCTGCTTGGTTTGGTCTGTGGTCTCCAGAGTCAGACGTTTACCTTGAGTATATTAGCTTCACCTTTTGAAAACACAACACTTGTTTTGTTTCAGCTTTAGCATGCTAGCAGGTTATTAGGCCTCTAAAGATGCAGATTTTTATGTAACTCATGTTGTGTAAAGTCATGCTAAGTGTTGCTGTGTGTGCCCAAGGGCAGTCCCAGTCACATTTATTACATACTGTGGACAGGAAGTGAACGCAGTAAGCGTTCATTCTCACAGCTCTAAAGCTCACCATGAAAACATTTGACTGAAAGGTTTTGATTCATTTTTTAACTGAAGTCTTTTGGTCATTAGAAAATGTGTGTGCTTTAGACCGGAGTGATAAGTGAGCCACTGTGCAACATTTACAATTTCAAAATAAAAGCAGAAATCTTTATTTTATGTATGTGTGTTTTATCCATGTAACAGATTGTTAGCCCATTCTGGTGTCATGAATACAAACTTAGGAAGCCCTTGTGAATATTTCTTGAAGATGGGCACACATGTGTACTGGGACTGGTGGTCAGAGGTCAAGGTCACTGTGATCTGACAACACAGACTTTTGCAAGCACAAAAATTCACTAATTCTGTCAAATGTGTATCTTGTGTTTAAAAGTAATAACTGAACTTTTCTGGCTGTTCGTCTGCATCATGATCCTATTTCACATTTGGTCTCATATTAAATTGTTGACCTTAATCTTTCTGCCACTTGGAGGTGACTGTTGTTGTCATTTGACACCATTTAAATAAAATAAAATTGAACCTCTTAAATTCATTTAGTCTTTACTTTTACAAAAGTCTGGACAAACATGGACACGAACTGCAGCCTTACTGGTTTCCAGTGGTGAACAGTAACCTGGCAGTTCTCCCGTTTCTACTGTTCTCTGCTTAGAAAACATTAAACTTTGAGCTATAACGTTGCACACACCCATTAATTTATGTTCGATTACACCCGTCGTAGTTTTATAGGTGTCGGTGGTTAACATGAAGAGGACCAGATGATGGAAAAAACAACCACAACAGACTCGAGTCGTTTTCCAGAGCTCTGAATATATTTCTCTTACATGAACATGAACACCCCAGCTCTGCTCCCCACCACACACACACACTCCAGCTACAAATAACATATACAGTGAAATGCTGCACTCATGTTAACACACCACACATACGTCTCACTGAATCAACAATGGGCTGGGAGGTCAATTCCTTCATTAATATGCAAACTGTCATGACAACTGATCAACAACCACTGATCAATAACCATGAGCACCATCCACAGAGAGTTGGGGAATGGCTGCAATCACAGCATGTAAGATGGTGACAGATGTACCCTTAGGCCCCCTCCTCGATTCAGAGATGGTCTTTCCCTT